AACACTAATGGGAAACTAGTCAATCCTAAAAGTTATCATGCAAAGTGAACCTAAAGTTGAGTTTGAAAAGGGAACTACCTAATGTTATCATGCATAGTTAGGCACCTAATGTCTATCATAATCTCAAGAGGTTAGAGGACTTATGGGGAACATGGCAAAGAAAAGCAATAGAAGAAGAAGAAGAATAAGATATGCATATGCAAATGAAAATGCAAACATAATGCAACACATAGAATGATAGTGGGAGGAAAATAGTGTGGGGCAGTAGCCACCACAAGCTCATCTCAACCAAGCATGCATATGGAAATGCAAGAAAAGAGGAGAAGAAGAAATGCATAAGAAGAACATTTGACAAACACAAGTAAACTTCACAAAGATGCACCAAAAAGTGGGATGAAATGACATAAGTCAAGCAACATTAACCACACCAATAAAATCAAACCAAATGAAAGGGAAATCAAACACCAAAGCCAAGTGAGGATAGGAGACCAAATGAGGGCAGCAAGAACCCCATAATAGGTACTCCATCATAAGCATCACTTATCAAACAAGAAGAAACACCAAAAATGTCCTCAAGGATTCATCATTTTAGGTATGCTTCAAATACCTCCAAAGGAGGGACCAAACCACCTTAAATGACATTCCAAGGTCATTGGACAGAAGAGAGGTGAAGAGGAGAAAGCTCACAATCAATATCAAAGCAAGATAAAAAAGAAATGCAAGCAAAAGCATGAAGGAAGCAAGCATGTGCCACATAAGAGTTCAAGTTGGAAGCACAAAAAGAAACACACAATTCAACAAGTATTGAACATAATTTTGACCTAAAAATAACCTACAGCAAGCTCAACATGTCTAGAATGTGAAACAAAAAGAATTGAGAGCTTATTGGATCCATAAAAGTCATTTCCAATTTAAACTAGGTCATGTACTTGTGTGAGCTTCCATTTGGGATGACCTAACTTGTAAGGTATCTCAAAAATAGGAAAACATCTCAAAAATTACGAAATAAAATGCATAAACAAGCTAAACATGTTGGAAAATAGAGGCCACAAGCACAAGCCAAATATCCCCTCAAAAGAAAAAAATCATTAGGAAGTACCACTTTGAAATGGGAGAAACAAGAGCAAAATGAAAAGCCACAAAAGTCAACAACCAGGGGCAAAATGGTCCTAAAAAATCCATCAACTCATGATGAACATAAGGATTGATTTTCACTCATTGAACCAAAAAGAAATGAGAGATACAAAATAAAAATCAAACAAAGTCACACTTTAATTCAATTAGAACAACTCCAACATTTAATTCATTTTTAAATTGAAAATAAAGTGAAAAAATAAAATAAAAATATTCAGAAAATACTAGACATCTCAAAGTTCATGAAAAATATTTTTGGGAAATTTTTAGGATATTGAAACTATTTTATTTGAATTAAAATGAAACAGCATACGAAGTAGAATTTAAAACGAAAATACTACATAAATGCAAAAACAATGTGACAAATAGCAACAAATGTGTGTGCAAAATCTGGACTGGACCCAAGGGGGGTGTAAACAGCGCATGGAATCATAAGCCCGACAGAAAAAATAAAACAAAATAATTCTGGATAATCACATGTGCAAAGTTGACTAAGGAGCATTGTAGGCATGCAATAGGAAACGTATGATCAAACAGTAATCTCATCATGTGGTCCAAACAATGCCATGTCAATTAATGAATTTGAGTTTCAATCACATGCACATGAGCACAAAATGAACACGGTAGGAAATGATCTACACCGTCCGCGCTAAAAGCCAACAGATCGGACGACCAATCGATCGTCTTCAACCTTGCTCACTATCACCGGCCAGAAAATTTTCCGGCCACCCCCTCCGACCGCTCCGGCCACCGCGGTATCCAACAACAACATACCTCCTCCATTTTTGCACCGTTTTCAACACTTCTTATATGAAAATTCATCTCCTCGGAACGAGGATCACATATCTATCCTTAGTTTTCATTAATTCCTCACCATTAAAGAGAAAAGCGAACAACAAGCTTGGTGTACAAAAACAAAAGTTCATCAAAACTCAATTAATTTTATCCTAACATCATCCTCATGTTATGTAGGTTATAGATCCACAAAAATCTAAGCAAAACACCTCAAGAATTGGTCAAACCGAATCAAACAAGTTTGGAGCTTATAAAATCAATCATCACAAACGCAAACAATTATGATCCATAAACGAACTACATGCTTCAAGGATCGCAATGCAACAAAAATGGTGAAAAATCATGGCATATTGAGAGTGTAAGGTTGAATTAAAGTTACCTAGTGGAGAACTTCCACTGAGCCTTCAAATGGAGCTTAAGCTTGCAAAAAATGATCCAAACACGTTCAGTGATCCACAATAAAGCTTTTGCAACCTTCAATTCGCCTTGAAATGGAGTAAATCTGAAAATTCAAATTTTGAGTTTTCACCACTTTTTCAAAGTTGTTCTTGAGCAATCTTCCTCCAATTTTCAAAGCTGAGCATTTGTGCAGATTGGAAATGTTATATGTGATAGATTTGAATCAAAATGAGGCCCAATTTCATGCCTTGGAGCCCAAACCAAAATTCAAATTTTCTCCACTTTTTGAATATGGAAGTGAACAAAAATGGCACTTGCTTGGCTCCAAAATGGCTCAATTCAACTGCTGGGAGTGTTTGGAGTATGAATGGTCAAGATTCAGCCCTTGTTTTGATCTCAATGGTTGGAATTGAATGTGTGACTTCATGGTGAAGTAATCTTAAAAATGGCTCACAAAAACACCTCAAATGCAAATTCTAATATTGCCAATGTTCTTAAAACATGATTTGCACTAAAAAAATGTACCTATTTGCACAAAAATGATTTATCATGAATTAATTCCAATTTTGCCCTTTTAAGCTTCCTTTCATGAAAATTCAAATACCAATTCCTCATTCTAAGTCAAATCCATGAATTCTCAATGTTTGATTGAACATTTGACACCATTTGGAGCATATTTGATGTTGGAAAAATCTTCATTTGAAGGGTGCAAGTTGGTGAAATGGACCTATAATTTTATGACCTGTAATCTTACTTTCCCAAAATATCCCTAACTTGTAGACCTCATAACTTGAGTTCTACAAATCATATGAAAGAATTCTAATACAATTTGGAAAGCTAAGACCAATACCTACAACTTTCATGTTGGCCAAAAGTTGAGGAGAAACATCCTTCTAGGTCAAAAATAGCTTGGAAGTTAGTTGACTTTTGTTGACCAAAATCACATCCCTCTGATGACCTGTAACTTGTCTGGACCATAACTTGAGTTCTATAAATCCAATCAAGGACTTATAGTACTCAAATTAAAACTAAGAACATGCTCTATAAGTTCCATGTTGGTCAAAAGTTGAGATGAAACTTGTATCTTGAGATAGGTGGTCTTGAAGTCAGGCACTAAATAGGGGATTTTAACCTGAGAACCCTAATTTAGTAACTTCTCACACATTTAACCCTTGATGAATTGAACTTGAAATGATGTCTCATACATCTTAGAACAACATCCCATGACCATATAGACTTTTAATTGATTTTTAATCTCCTTCAATTGCACAATTGACTTAGGACTAGCCAGATGAACCCTAATTGCAACACCTTCAACTGTGACCCTTCACACTTGGTACAAACACTTGAATGAACTCCACCATGACCCTCAAGGCCTCCAATGAGCTTCAATAACAACCTATATCCATAACCATGGGCTTGTGATCCTCAGATGAACCTCAGATAAGCTCTTAGACAGGAGACAAACCACATTCACTTGCTTGCCTTTCTTCCAGGACTTTGACCTGCTTAACTGATGATAACCACTTTTGATGACTTGAATATGACCTCTTGATTAGGCTTTGAAACCCTTGCTAAGCACTCATCTCTTGATCCCCTGCTAAATGCAAAAAATGTTATGCAATGCAAATGCTAGAACAATGATATGCTAATGCAAAGAAACAAAAGTCAGCCAAGAAAAAGGTTGGGCAAATTTTGGGGTGCAACAATGAGCTTTTACGAGAATGCTCTTTTACTTTACAAAAAATTCAGTCAGACTAATGTAAGGTTTTCTTCCACTTCAAGACTTTGTCAAACACTTTCTTTTGTAGACACTTGCTTGATGAGATGAGATTTGAGCTTATATTTCATTTGATTGTCATCATTAGATTTCAAGTCCATCAAACCCTAATACTTAATTTTGCGTCTTTATCTGCTTAATCCTTTCACATTAATGGATTAAGTTGGAACGAGTTATGTTACACTCGTGTTCATATCTGTCCTAAATTATTACAGGGGTGAGATGTTTTAGGTGGGATACTATACATTATCATTTATATTTTTATTTTTAACAAGGGAAGAGTTCCTACACTATTTTATATTAAAGTTATTTAATTGCATTTGCAATTCTCTATTAAAAGTATTTTTTTTTTAATTTCATCTATTTTTCTTTTAACAAAATTGTTTCTTTGACTGTTTTTGAATTGATGTATCATAATGGAGGGTATAGCATAATAGAAGAAAATAAATATAGTAGAGTGCAATGAAACATATGTTTAATTTTATTGTTAGGTTATTTTAAATATAAAATGTCCCTATTCTAACATAAATGAAATAAAAAATGAAGAATTTGATGGAATGAATTTATCATGTTTCATTCTATTTCAACCACTATTTATAAATGCAAGCAATGAAATCTTATTATTCATAATTTTATTCTCATATATTTTCAACCCAAACTTTATCCTAAGTTTTAAATTGTGACAACAAAAAAGAGAAGATGGATAAAAGAATCATAATATAAAAAAATATATGTAATCTATATTTGTAAGAAATGACAAGGAAGAAGAAAAGGGACATGGATCGACATGGAATGATGTTAGTGCATGAATTCGTAACAAAGCCTAATGCTTTTCCTGAATTCTCTTTACACGTCACTCTATTTCATCTATGATCCTAAAATTTTCCAGTTTTCAACGAATTTTGGGTGCTGGAATCGGAGATCTCGCCGCAGTTTGATTTGGAAGAGCTTTCCTTACCTTCAAGTCTACTCCTGTTGGTACACCGGCTGCCATTTTCAACAAAGCCTTAATTAGATGATTAACAGAAAAACTAAACATATATAGCAGGTTTAGCAATCATATTCAAAATATATGAAATTATGAAGTGAAACTTACGGTTGTTTTCGTACATAGGGAATTGGCAACGATATTGACATATAGAATCGCCAATGGGTTTAGGGTAAAACATGGATTTGGAGCAATAATCGTAGCATGCTTCTCGGGTCATCAATTTCCCTTTACCTTGAACAGTTACAACACACACCAACAACAACAATGCAACGAATTTGTCTGACATTTTTGTTTCTAAATCAAGTTTCAAATGTAAAACAATTTGCTTTGTTGTTGTTGGTATTTTTAGTTTTTTACTTTTTTTTTTTTTTTTTTTAATGTTTTCCTTCTTCCTGTTTACTATTTGCAACACTGATAACTATATATATATACTACATAACCACGTGTGGCTCCTGAGCCATGCATAATTTTAACAGGCATAGCTAAAACGTCGGTGTTTATTTTAAGGAGAAAAGAATTGTTACTTGATGTTAATTCTTGATATTTTGATGGATGTTAATATATAACAAAAAAATATAGAATTTCCGAGTGTTAATTTTCAGTATTAAGGAATATTATTTGGTGTTTTTGGAGTTTTGTGTCTTTCATTATCTATTAATAATTGGAAGATTGATATATATATATATATATATATATATATATATATATATATATATATATATATATATATATATATATATATATATATATATATATATATATATATATATATATATATATATATATATATATATATATATATATATATATATATATATATATATATATATATATATATATATATATATATATATATATATATATATATATATATATATATATATATATATATATATATATATATATATATATATATATCCGTCTCATATTACATGCAAATTTTATTTTTTAGATACATTGAATAATTAATGTATCTGATTTATATATAGACGATATAGAGAGAGAGAGAGAGAGAGAGAGAGAGAGAGAGAGAGAGAGAGAGAGAGTTATTATGGATATGGTAACTAAATAGGCTCAGTTTATTTAGATAAAGATTGTTTATCTATTGTAGAAGTTGGCAGAGATATACATCCTGTGATTGTGAAGTTGCAAAGAATTTCGTTGATAAATGTTTTTAATTGAGATCTGAGGTTCATGTCAATGTTTTGGGAGAGCTTGCACGAAGCCTTGGGAACTTAATTAAGGTTGGGTTCTGCCTACCATCCGCAGACGGAAGGTCAGATTGAGAGGACTATGCAATCCTTGGAAGATTTGTTTAGAGCTTGTGTCTTAGAGCAATGAGTTAGCTAGGATACTTAATTGTCATTGATAGAGTTTACTTATAACAAAAATTTATATTCTAGTATTGGAATGACACCTTTTGAGGTTTTATTTGGTAAGAGGTGTAAGACACCTTTGTGTTGCTATAAATCCAATGAAAGTGTTGTGCTTGGATGAGAGATTGTTCATCAGACTATTGAGAATGTTAAAATGATTTAAGAGAAAATGAAAGCATCGCAGAGAAGACAAAAGATTTATCATGGTAAGCAGATGAAGAATCTTGAGTATTAAGAGAGTGACTATGTGTTTTTGAGAGTCACTTTGGTGAATAGTATTGATCGTACGCTGAAGTCTCAAAAGCTTACTCCTTGTTCATTAGTCCTTATTTGATCCTTCAGAGAGTCAGAGATGTTGCATATCGAGATCCTGCAAGGGATTTTGTTAAGTAGTGTTTTTAATAGAGACCTTAGGTTCATGTCAAGGTTTTGGGAGAGCTTGCAGTAAGCCTTGGGAACTGAATTGAGGTTGTGTTCTGCCTATCATTCGCGGACAGACGTTAAACTGAGAGGACTATCGATTCCTTGGAAGTTTTTTTTAGAGCTCGTGTCTTAGAGCAAGGAGTTAGTTGGGATACTTACTTGCCATTGATCGAATTTACTTATAATAAAAATTTCCATTCTAGTATTGGAATGACATCTTTTGAGGTTTTGTTTTCTAGGAGGTGTAGGACACCTTTGTGTCGCTATGAATCCAATGAAACTATTGTGCTTTGGCCAGAGATTGTATAGAAAACTACTAAGAAGGTTAAAATGATTCAAGAAAATATTAAAGCATCACAGAGAAGACAGAAGAATTATCTTAGTAAGCGGAGGAATACTCTTGAGTATCAAGAGGGTGACTATGTATTTTTGAGAGTCACTCTAGTGACTATTGTTGGTCGGGCGCTGAAGTCTCAGAAGCTTACTCCTCGTTTCATTGGTCCTTATTAGATCCTCCAGAGAGTCAGAGATGTTGCATATCGAGTTTCCTTACCATTGTCTCCCTCGAACTTGCATGATGTTTATCATGTGTCTCAGCTTTGAAAGTATATTTTTGATATGTATCATGTGATCCAATTTCATGATGTACAAGTGAGAGATGATTTGATTGTTGAAGAATTACCCTTGCGGGTTAAGGATCGAGAGGTGAAGCACTTGAAAGGTAAATAATTTGCACTTGTGAAGGTAGTGTGAGGAGGACCTTCTGGAGGTAGCGAGACATGGGAGGTGGAGATTAAAATGAAGGGGTCGTATCCAGAGTTGTTCCCTTCAGGTAGTTTTTGAGGGAGAAAATCCTTTTAAGTGGGGGAAAGTTGTAACACCCTAATTCTTTAATTGTTTTAATTATTTAATTTTATATAATTAATTTGATGGGATGATTAATTTTATTTGAAAAATTAGAGATTTAAGTTAATTTAATTTAATTATAGTAATATTTAATTTAAATAATAATATAATAAAATATAGAGTTTTAATAAATAGAAAGAGTATTGGTGTAACAGAATTGAGAGGTGAAAAGAGACTAGGGTAAATAAATAGAGAGAGTGAGGTAGAATTTTGTGCAGTACGTGCATAACTTGGAAAAAGAGGTAAAAAGACAGAACTTAGGAAGGAACCTTGGAGAGCGAGGAAAAATTCCAAAAGGCCAAAAGTTTTCATCGATCTATAAATTTGAGGTAAATAGGGGAACGATGTCCTTACCCTCATGTCTTCTTCATTCATTTATCTGTATTTGATGTTTGTGGCCAAAAAAGTTTGGGAAAAATCATGAGGTGATCAATGATAATATTTTCCTTTTGATTTTGATGTGATATGTTATTCTTGAGTTTTAATCTATATTTTACCAAGTATATTGGCATGTTTATGAATTGTTGTCTTTGATAAGGCGGAGTTGTTTGAGTATCAATGGTTATGCCATAAGTAGAAAAAGTAAAATTTGGATATTTGTGTATGATGTGTTTGAGGCTGTTGATTTGTATTTTTGGGTGAAAATCTTAAATTTAAAAAAATAAATAAAATAACAGAAAAAAAAAATCAAAAATTTAAAAAAAATTCGAGAGTCAGGGGGTGCGGCAGGGGATGTCGCGCCAGAACAACGGTGACGAGGGCCCACGCTCAACAACAGGATGTCGCGGTCAGCAGTTCGGGCGACAAGCACCATTTCAGAAATTATTGGTCTGGTTTAGTGAGTTTCGAGCAATTTGTGATTTCTGTGAGTTTTCGTTGTCTTTTGATGAGTTTAGAGTCATATTTCCATTTTTTTAGTCATTTTACCGATTTAGAGTTGGAGTTGAAGGTGTATGATACACTAGAGTTAAATTTGGAGCCTTTTGACATTATAAAATTGATTTTTGTGTTATATTTTTATTTGTTTAAGGCTCTTGATTCAAAAAGGTTAAATTTTGAGTCGTTAAGTAATTTAGAGTAATGTTATTGAGTTGTTAGAATTGAATTTGAGTAATATGACATGTTCAAAGTTGTGTTGATGAGTAATGAGATAAGGCTAGAATATGTCAATGGGTGTTTGTTTTCTTACCCTATATGTGAGCTTACATGAGTAATAATGTGTTTACCATGCTGATGAATAATTGTGAGTATTTATACAATTATATTAAATTGAGTTATAATTATATAACATATTGAGTTTAGTAGTTCAGTGAGATAGTGCAATGTTGGCCTTATATTGGAAATTTTGCGGGTTCATAGAGAAATTTTTGTTGAGTATGCGTTTTGAATGTTATTTATTGAGATTCATGCATTCATGCATATCGGAGATAGGTAGGACTTCGGTCCAGTGAGGTCATGATTTAGAGAGGAATAATGAAGGTTTCGTGTTTAGAGAGGAACTGAAGACATGATTAATTCAGCAACATAACATTGACATCCAAACCTTGGTACCATGTGCATTGAGAAGTAGGGGAGAAACACATTGTATTATATTTTCATTTATGATTATCTAATTATTATGTATTATTTTATGAGCTTGTGAACGTTGTTGTTTAACTATCCTAACTATTTACATACCCATTAACATTATGAACGTATTTCTCACTCCATTATGTTTTGTTATGTTGCTCGTTGTGATGATGGTGGAGATACCCAGGTAGAAGAGCACTAGATGCTTCTTGTTTGAAGAATTGACACAGATGCCTACTTCTTTATGTTTATCATTTTGAGTTTTAGTTTTTCTGCGGTTTCGCTCTGATAGTGTAACATCGGGACGAGTTTTAGTTATTTGATATTTTCTTAGAATTGTTGACTTATTTTCTTATGTTAAGATTAAGTCATTTATTTTGATGAAGTAGGAGATGTTTCAGTTGATATAATATGATTTGAATTTTTGTTGTGTTGTTATAAACTTTTTGAGAAGTATATTTTATGAGAGAGGTGTGACACTATATGGTTGAAGTAATATGTTATTGCATGGTTTTATTTTAAAATGTGAGTTGGGGTTTTTGGGTTTTACATTAGGGGTGTTCAAAACCAAACCGGCCCAATAGAAACTCGACGACCAAACGAAAACAAAGTGAACATTGCAAAAACCACATTTAGTCCGGATGTGTTTAGGCCGTTTTTTTAACAAAACTGCACGATTCAGTTTTGTTTGCAGCTCGTATTTTGCAAACTGAACCTAACTAAACCAAACTGCATTATGTTACAATCCAAGTTTTACTTAACCCGCACCCAACCTAAATCCAAACCTATTATGCCCTAGCCTTACGATCACGGATTATTTTTTCTTCCTCGCACTTAGGTTTTCAATCTCATCCTTTTCAAATTTCTCCTAGCACAACCGCACTTTCTTCTCATCTTCTTTGCTAGGTATATCTCACCTCTTCTTCCATAATCTCTCATATCTTATGTTTTTTGTTTTTTATCCTCTCATTTTAATGTTATTGTTCTTTGTTCCAATTACGTTTTTATCGCA